AGTAGATCCCCTTCTGTAGCCACGGTATACATGTGTGTAGACATATAGCATGTATTCATATATATATATACATATATATACACATTTGTGCATGTGTATATATATATATATGTATGTATGTATGTCTCAAGTGCTGAAGCAGGAAGAGTTGGACGTCTCTGTTCGGTCTGATTGCAAAGCAAACCGCAAGCGGTTCAATCCCTGTAGCAGAGACTCTCCTCGAAAAACAGTGAAGCCAAGCAGAAGCTTCTTGCGCGGCACCGACGCCCAGATCAGTGCCCAAGCATCTGGTCCATAGTATCGGCCGTAAGCTGCCCGCGGGAACATCTCACTGTTTCTCGCGAGGTCCGTCGTGCTTGCATGGCGCTCCTTGCATCGGGTGACCGATTAATCGAGGCGACGAGGGGGCGGAGGAGGAGGGGGCGACCCCAGTGGCCCTCCCGAACGTGTCCTTCGTGGTCTTGCTCTGCTTCTGGTTGTTATCAGTATTAGTATTGTTCGTTTTTGTTTTAAAGTTTGGTGTTCGTCTACTTATACGTGGCACTTCTCATCGTTAGTATTGTTTTCATTCCTCCTCTTCGCCCTCCAACCCTCTCAGTGGTTTTCATTCCTCCTCTTCCTCCATCCCCTCTCCTCTGCCTCTCCATCCTCGTCAGCTCCTCCTCATCCCTCCCCCCTCCTCCTCCTCCTCCCTCCTCCCTTCTCTCCTCCTCCTCCTCCTCCCTCCTCCTCCTCCTCCTCCTCCTCCTCCTCTTTCTCCTGCTGCTGCTCCTCCTCCTCCACTTCCTCCTCCACTTCCTCCTCCTCTTCCTCGTCCTCCCTATTCCTCCCTCCATCTCCCTCCCGATCCTCCTCCTCCCAGAGGCCTGCCCCCGCCCCCCCCAGGGTGATTGCATCGTCGGCGGCGTGAACGGCGAGGCGGCCGACCGCAAGCAGGCGCAACGCCGCGCGTGCCCCTGCTGGGCACATCGACACGACGTCGAGGAAGGTTTTCCCGAAGGTTCGGGAGTTCTGCCGAAGTTGTCACACGATTGTTTCTGAAGTTGTCGGAGGTGTTCGGGGGCCCAGGGCGGTTCCCATCGGCTGCGCCTCGTCGGAAGCGTTCCAGGGGGTGCCAGGAACGTCCCGAACGGCCTCCTGTGGCCCGAGATACGGTCCGAAAGCTAGAATCGGGAAGCGAGGGCCCATTGATCACGATCTCTTGCGCCCTCTTGCGCCGTCGTGGCCTGACCTGACCTACTCATCATCCTCCTCGAAGGTTGGGCGTGCTTGGATAGCGGCGGCATGAACTTAGGTGGCAGCGTCAGGAGTTCGGCTCGGCCATGCAGCAAAGTTTTGCGGAAGGCAGGTAAGGCTTCGGGATAAGGAGGAGCAAGGGGAGGAGGAGGTAGTCGGATTTTCGGAGGCCAGACCTCTTGCGAGTTCTCCGGAGTGTTCTGGAGGTCTCCGTTATTATCATCCTGCTCATTCGCCTCTCCCCCAATTCCTCACTGCTCTCCCCGCGCGCGCCCGGGGGGGCAGAGGGGAAGAGAAGGGAGCAGTGGGCCAAGGAACAGGGAGGAGCAGGGAAGCTGGGAGGAGGGAGGCAGGGGGAACCCGCGGAGGGAACCAGAGATAGGGGGGGGGAGGGGGGGGGGGAGGGGGTGCGAGCTGGGAGGAGGGAGAAGGGAGCAGGGCGTGAGGGGCGGGACGAGGAGAGGGCGGAGGAGGGGAGGAGGGAAGAGGGAGGAGGGAGGGGGGAAGGGGGACCGCGGAGGAGTCGCGGAGGAGGGAGGCGGAGGACGGGAAGGGGGAGCAGGGGGGAGGAGGACTCGAGCCGAGCGAGCAGGTCGCAGGGGGGTGCGTGCTGCGGCCGCGGAGGCGGGATGGCCTGGGCCGCTCGCAGAAAGGGGACGGGAGCGCGGCGCGGCCGGCTGCCTCGTGCCTTCGCAGGCCGGGCTCGAGGGGGGGGGGGGGCGGCCGGGGAGCCTGGCCCAAGCTGGCGTGAGCCAGGAGTGTCCAGCGGGGCCCTGTCCCTCGAAGAAGAAAAAAACATAAACATAGACTGTTGGCGCTCCGCGCTGGATTTCTTGGATCCGCGCCTGGGCCCCCCGGCGGCGCCTCCGGCGCCGCCCCTGGCGCGCTCCGCGCGCCAGGGAGGAGGGGTCCAGCGCGAATCCAAGAAATCCAGCGCGGAGCGCCAAAAGTTTATGTTTATGCCGTTTTGTTCTTCTAGTCCCCCCCCCCTCTCTCCCCCCGCACCCCCGCAGGTGCTGGACAAGCGGGAGATGCAGAGCGTGCTGGACTTCGGGGAGCAGATCAAGCGAGAGGGCAACGAGGCGCCCGGCGGGAGAGGGAGCGGAAGGAGGGTCTTCATTCTCCGGCACGCTGTTCTTCACGTCGCCCCCCCCCCCGCCGCCGTCTTTGTCCTGCCTGTTATCCTCGTCGCCCCGCCTGTGCTCGCGCGTCCTCGTCGTCGTCCTCCCCCTTCTTGAGAACCTCGTCCTCCTCATCCACGATGCCCTCCTCGTCTCCACGCTGCTGGCCTCCTCAACCTCCTCGTCGTTCTTCTCGTCGTCCTCCGCCTTCTCGGGCTCGTCCTCCTCGCCCTCTTCCATCTCGTCCTTTCACTCCCATTCCAGCCTGTAGTCATCCTTGTCCTCCTCGCTTTCCGCTCGTTCTCCACGCTGCCATCCTCCTCACTCTCATCCTTGTCGACCTCACCTTCTCTTTTCTTGGTATAAGTTTGGCCATCGGGCCCTGATGGCCGGGTCTGGCAGGCTGGCCCTATAGCTGGTGGTCGGGCGGGCGGACCCGCACGGGCGGATCGGGCGGGCGGAGCATCAAAGTCCTCCTCCTCCTCCTCCTCCTCCTCCTCCTCCTCCTCCTCCTCCTCCTCCTCCTCGGCAGGCTCCCGTCGTGACGTCTTGGAGGCTGGCCTCTGACCCAGCGTGGGCCGGAGGAGCGGGAGGAGGGCGGGAGGGCCTCCGAGCGCGCGGACCGGCGGATCCTGACGGGCAGGTCGGCGGGCGGGTCCTACCGGGCGGGGCCCTGAAGAAGGAGCCCTTTTCGTTTGGGAGGGGCTCCGTGTTCCTTGGTTGTTTTACACTGCTCCTTGGGCTTTCCTGAGGCCCTCCATGGAACATCGGAGTTTAACTTATGGGAAAAAGGGGCCCCGTTCCTTGTTTAGGGCTCCTTGGGTCAACGCCTCGACTGTACCGGGCGGGTCGGGCGGGCGAGCACAAACGAGCTGATCGGGCGGGACAGCGAAGCGGGCGGGCGGGCCTGAAGCAGGCGACCGGGCGGACCGTGGGCCGGGCGGGCTAGCTCTAACATGTCGGTCGGGCGGGCGGGCGGGCCTTGACGGGGGTGCCGGGGGAGCAGGGCATTGAAGCGATTGATGCGAATTGCGAAGCAGTCTCAGGCGAGAGCACGAGTCCAGAGGAACTTGTGAGGAGGTCTCGCGCGCGAGTGCGAGTTCTGGGCGTCGATGGCGCGGAACCTGAATACATCGCGGGTAAGTCTCGAGCTCGAGCGCGATTCTTGAGTAAATTGTGGGGACGTCCCGCGCGGGAGCGCGATAACAAAAAACGTTTGTTTGGAAGGATCAAGCATGAGCCGCTGTTGTTGTAAGCTGGGGGCCAGGGGCGCAGTTAGAGCAGGAATATTTTCTTTGATCAAGAAGCACAGTGCGAGCCCCAAGGGGGGGCACTTCAAATGTCAAATGCCGTGCGTGCAGGAGGGGGGGTCAACTGCAACCCTTGTTCGGCAATGGCATCTCCGAAACAAAACAAAAACAAGAAAAACATCAGCAAACATCACCGCTTCCCCCCCTCCGTGCTCCTACCCTCCCCCCCCCCTCCGACGCGTGCGCACGGGCCCGCCAAGGCGTTCGCCAACGAGAACTGGGAGGGCGCGCTGACCCGCTACTGCCAGGGGGACGAGGCCTCAGAAGACCCCGATCTGGGCGAGATCCTCGGCGATGAGGTCCCCAGAGTCCGAGGCGGGAACTTATCCATATCCACCGCCTGGAGGTTCAGTTTTCGGAGCCTCGGCAGGCGGTGGATATGGACACATTCGGGCCCCCGGGGGGCGAAATATATCCATATCCACCGCCCGCTGTGGCACCAGGACGTCGGTTCCCAGGCGGTGGATATGGATAAATCCCCGCCTCGCACAGAGGCCCCGGGAGGCCGCCCGAGACCCAAAATGCAAAGGAACATCTGGGCCTGGGCCCCGATCCCACCCCGAGATCTGGCGTCGGCCAAGATCTGCAGCCTCGTGAAGAGATTACGGCCAGGGCCCTCGCCTCCACCTTCCTGCTACATTCCTCGAGGCCTTTTTCGATGGGGTCCGAGTGGATGGGGTCGGAGATTCGCGCCAGATCGCCGATGCATCGGCGATGCAGCTGGATGTGGAGCCCGATTTCCTCCACGCCGACGTCGCCGATGCATCGCCGACGTCGCCGATGCCGAGGCATCCTCGACGCATCGCCGACGCATCGGCGATGCGGCGCGATCTTCCGACCTCGTTTGCAGTCAGCCCGCATAGTAAGCATGGGCAACCTTCCCAAAGGTGCCCTTGCATCCTTGCCTCCTCGGTCCATCCTTCGCCTCTTTCGTTGGCCGCGCCCCGCTCGGGAAGCTTCGAGATGGTCGTCCGAGGCCCTTGCATCCGTATCGCGCATACTTCTGGTACGGGCCGGCTGTACTCTCAAGTCGGGCCTGTCCCTCTACAGGAAGAGTATGCAAACATAGTCCGGGGACGCTTTTTTGATTATATGTGGGGGCATCTTTGCTGGTTACATGTGTCATCTGTCGCCCAGAGGCCGCCCGTAGGACGACACGCCCGACCGAACCGTGCTCGGACCCCGTCTGGGAGGCCTCCGCCTCCTCGGGCCAGGGCGACCCCGCGGGGCTCCGCGGGGCCCGGGGCCGGGCGGGCGAGCGAGGGGGGGGGGGCGAGGCAGAGCGCGGAGCGAGAAGGCGCGGGCCGCCCGGACCTCGGGGAGCCGCCCGTAG